CGCTCCTTCTCCGGCATTTGCGGGGTCGTTCCTGCCCCTCTTTCAGTGCGTATGGCGGCACGTCCGCCGGATCGTGAGGACACGACGCTCAGGGACACACTGCGTTGGAAAAAACAAAAGCTACCGTCAAAAGAGGGATTCCCCGCGCCGCCGCACCACCCACACCCCCAGCTGCCGGCGTTCGGAGACACGCACTCTTCCTCAATCCTCGTGCTCTCGTCGTGCTCAAGGCGGCGCTCTTCGTCTCGCGGATGAAGGATACGCCAATAGATTCACACCTCTTGGCAAGGAACACCTGTTCTCCTGCTGGCGCCACTTCTTGACCGCACATTGGTACCGCCGAACCACACTTCTCCGCGGTCCACTGGTCCGGATACCGCAAATCCAAACAGGAGTACTTGCCACGCGCGGCGCAACAGACTGCGGTCTTACCATCTCGGGGTCCTCCGCCAAGACCCTCGCGGCGGCGCGGGGAACCTCCGGAATACACTCATGGCCCGTGTGGAGGAGAGTCGATTCCACGAGATCCACAAATCCCACTCGACAACGGAAACTCGTCCGTGCATATCCGCCAAGTGAGCCGCCTGTAAAAAGACGCATACAAATCCAGTAAAGCGGCGGCTTCGTCTCGCACCGCGCCAAGACACTGCGAAATGTGAAATGGCGGAACGTGGCCTCGGCGTCCTCCCGGGCGTCCCTTGGTTTTGGCCATGCGATGGACCGCCATCTCCGTCCTGACGGCCTGTCCAACACCGCCGCAAAAGGCGCCCGCCGGTCCATCCTGCGACGGGCCCTTCCAAGGCTTTACTAAGAATAACTGCCCTTTCCACAAGCAGCGCACGTTGCGAAAAAGTCCGCAAACTCAATTTGTTTCCTTCCCTCGTCGAGGTGACGGGTCTTAACAGTGTTTTTCCACAGCTCGCCAACACAGTCGCGTGCCGTTGGATTCATCCGCCGTCGGATCCACCCCAGGGATGAAGTGCACACGTCCACTCGTCGCCGGGGCAAGCAATCCTCCTCCTCCCGCAACGCAACCCGACGGCTATGGGTGCGCCAAATGATGCTGTGGCCCTGAAAATAAAATGGTCGTGCGCCGTCCCTCCCCGGCGCCAATTGTGCCCACAGCACCGTCGCACGGTGCGCCAGCTCGTTTCCACCAACGGTGCCAACCGCGCCGACGTGTTGGTGGAGAGATGGCCCACGGCATCGCCGCGAACGCAGTGTTGAGGGGTACCCATTCCGCACGGTCACACCCGGACATTGATGATGATTCCCTATTTGTGCTGGCCCAGAAGTCACTGCTTCCGAGCCAAAATTCCTTTTTTTTTGGGTATAGGTCTCCCTTTGCGGCTTCACTCGGCACGTCCTGCTGTATTGTCCAGCCCGACCACGTTTGCAGCGTCGTGCTTCATTGGGCGGGGGTGCGGCATGCTCTTTGTTTGCTCTCTGAACTGCCTGGGGGAAAGGGCGGTCCCGTTTCTGGGCGCTTCGATAGCGCCCTGAATTTCCCGGATCCGCGCTCTAGAATTCTTTTTCGTTGTCCGGAGGATCCATGCGACTGAGTGTACGCAGTCGCCCTGCCAACCGGCGAGATTCCATAAACATCTATTCCCCGTGAATGGCGCACGCCCAGGGCGCCTCTTTCCTCCCACCGCTGTTTGCACGCCGGGGTCTGGCGCAGCCGGCGTCGGAAAAGCGACCAAAGACGCATCCAGGAGCTGTGGCCAGGCGTCGCATCAAGCATGCATTCCAATACGCCGCCAAATGGCGCGACAGCGATCCTCCGGGCGAATCCCTGCCACCCACGGATTCCCCTCATGAGCCCCTGTGTGCCCCGCAGGCCGAGTAACAGCTCTACTTCCCCTGGTGCGTCATGGGGTTCGCCCTTCCACGCAGGATCACCCAATCCTCTCTGCTGCATGGGACGCATTCCAACTTCCCGTGGCAGAGGTGGCGGAGACTTGTGACGGGCCTTGCTGAGCGCTGATGGGCGCAAAGTTGTCGTCCCATTGATGGCTATGAGCAACTTTTGCATCAGCGCCAATCCAATGCGCACCGCCTGGAACCGCGCGTGGACATCTGAGCTGCACACCAATATTTTTCATCCTCCAACTGGGCCCAGGCGCACTCATATGGACGGTGCCGCGCCAACCGCCTTCCTTTAAGGGCCGCCCATTTGCTCCAAACAGCGGTGTGCCTCTTCCTCCTCAAAAGAGGCTCGAATGGACTCAGGGTTCCTCGGCGCGGTGGTGACAGCCACAGAGTGTCGCAACGAGGTGCAATTCATGCCGTTGTCCTGGCCCCGCCTTGCAACGAGTTCGCCGCCCGCTAATGGCGAGAACGCCGCCCACGTGGTGGCTCAATGGCGGGCTAGTCGCTGGGCGAAGACAAAGTGGAGAAAGTGCCGTTGGACCACTCAGTGGCACGACAGCCTGAAACGCCCAGTTGCGCCGGTGGCCGCCCCACCGCAGAGCGTGGGCGCGGGGCGTGTCTCGTGGACACCGTCCGATCCAAAAATTTCCCCTGAATAAATATGCTTTGTGCTAAGCCTCACAAATGGCAAATAGGAGAGAAGAAAAGATTAGTGTTGGGGATTCCCCCGGCAAATCGTAGCACCCAACATTCCTCTCGCAGGCTTTCAAAGTAAACATGAAATAAAAATCAAGAAAAAAAAAACAACAACAAAAACTGGGCTCCAACAATGCGAATGGCTTCTTTCCACTCAATGTTGCTTCACACACCGCTTCATTTGCATTTTTGTCGTGCGGTCCAAGTCTATTTTGAAAAACAATAATTTGGCCTGCATTGAATAGCACGTAAAAAAATAAATAAATAAGGGGGTGCTTCGGGGTGCACATATATATATATACATCTGTGTAAATTACCAAAACATCTCTTGCAGATTTGAGTGTATATTGACCCAAAAGAAACGAAAACCGATCGAAGAAGACAAATTAAAACTATTATATTATCAAAACATCTCTTGCAGATTGGAGTGTATATTGACCCAAAAGAAACGAAAACCGATCGAAGAAGACAAATTAAAACTATTATATTATCAAAACATCTCTTGCAGATTGGGGTGTATATTGACCCAAAAGAAACAAAAACCGATCGAAGAAGACAAATTAGAACTATTAACCAAAAATTGGCACATTCCCAATTTGACGGGTACAAAACGCGTTTTTTCACAGTATCATCAATACATTGATATAAAAATAAGAACCAGTAAAATCACTGAAGTTGATGGAAAAACTGGCAACAAACAGCTCACGTCTCCGCTTCCCCTGGGTGGATCAAAGATAGTACACTCATCGTCGTACTTTGGACACAAAATCTTTCCTCCAGTGAACAACCCAGTTGGTGTAATACTGCTGCCCTCTGGGCACTGGCGCCATGTATCATCTCCAAGGTACCGCACGCTCACCTCACCCTTTTCACACGACACCTCAGCGCACACGTCACCAACAGGACCCATGAAATCGACAAGCCCATCCCCCTTTAAGCACATTGATCTCGGGCCAACGCGGCTCCCATGCATGACGCTTGCTTCCCCATTGCTGCACCGAGTGTTGGAATACGGTTGAACGTAAGGGCATAAGTCCATTAAGGAGGAGGCCGAACCGCCAAGTTTGAGATTCGAAAAGTACTGATATTGTGGGGGAAGTTCGGCTTTGTAGAGATGGATTGTACAGTACCCCAGCGCCAGACGATCCGATGTGCATGAAAGAAGACCTGTTTCAGCGGTGCAAAACATCTCTGGATACTGGGTGACGCCATTTATCAGGCATTTCTCTGTCAGCAGCGCGCAGCCGGAGTTGTTGCCCCATGACATCGGTTCCTCCATTCCCCAATTGGCCTTGTAAAACCCGGTGTCCTCCAAAGCAGCCATTGTCAGGGACGTGTAGTAACCGATTCCGGAAATACCAGCCATCAGCTCGTCCTTTGCGTTGCGTCTCTCCCAATGCGACGATGCTGTTCCTTTCCCACCTTCATCCTCCAGCTCCATGCCGGTAGCATTCACGCAGTTGAAGTGCTCGCGAGTCTTCTCCACCGTCTTGGGTGACGACACCTGCAGTACCTTTGCTTTGCCGCGTACATCCAAAACCTCTTTCAACATATTGCGTTCTTTCATTAACCACACAGCAAACCCAATAGCATGTGCAACCTCATGCGCTGAAACACGAACACTGTTCTCCGAATCAGTGACAGAGCTCGGGCCATAATTCACCACTCCGACAACAGGGCGTCCATCGGGTAATTTTAAGCATGTAGTAGCCCACGCAAGTGTGGAACCCTGTGTCGGGCCAGCGGAGACATACAAGTACATGTCCGCACCGCTCACACCCTCTGTGTGGTGGGAGCTGGGTATTTTAAACTGCGCGCATATACCTGACGAGTACCTTGGTACAATAACCCTGCCCGTGAGAGGCTTAACAAGTAGACGATCCGTGTGCATTCCGAACGCTCGGGGAAGAAGGGAGTTTAATATGATGGATCTTTTTTCCTTCGTCAAAATATCCCTTTTATTACACTCAAGAGTTCCCCCAGTAAAGTCTGGACAAATCTGCCCCTCAGCGGTGCAGTGTTTTGAGGGATCGTTCAGATCCTCCGTGAAGACTTGAAAGCGGATGGGCGCCCATTCGGGAGCCGAGGCAGTCAGCGCCCGCATCATGCCACTTTCCCGAGTTGGCAGCTCTAGCACCACTGCTGTCGTCCGGGGGCCAACCTTGTTTTCAATTTCTTCGGAGATGCAGTGATGCTCAGCGACGGCAACAGAACCAGAGACGCAGCAGAGCAGCAGCACCTGGAATAGCAGAGTGTGACGCATCCTTGTGTGTGTTTTTTCTTTTGGGTCTTTCACAGTGCACTTTAGCTGTTTGTATGCTTGTCAATTGGCTTACCTTGAGAGAAGAAATGAATGGATTGAGTAACTGGTGCAGTCTCAATAAAATACGGCATCAGTGAGTTATGGTAACTGCTGAAATACACATTGAATACAATATTACGAAATTATCTCGGCTTTTTCCCACAATAAATAGGGTTACCTTCGTGAGCGCCCATCCATTTGTTTCACTGCTGTTGATCGGGAATTTCACTCCAATCCATTGATGGCATTCCACCTCTTCACTTTTTTCCCGTTCTTGACGGTTTCTTCTGTTTTTCCCCTAATCTTACCAACATGTCTAGCCACACGATGCCGTCTGGGTGATGAAGAGGTGGTCGAGCAGCGACAAGAGTTTCCTGCTATGAGGCAACTGCCATTGAGAGAAATTTTCGGTGCGGAGGTCCTGCTCAATGCCCAGCCTTTGGCGCACAGGCAAGGTGCCTGGAAATTCTGGAAGCAGATGGTGCAAGTTTTTACGCGGGCAATTCGCGTGCTTGTGGAGCTGGCTGATCCTGCGGCAGCAGGGATCGCCTCCTGGCACTGCTGCTGTGTCGGTTGGCGTCAGGGTTGTGTGCGCAACGCGTTCTGTGCTGTGCGGTACTTTTCCGTGTGGGGAGGACCTTGTCGCAGCAATCGCATTTGAGCTTGGGAAGCGGTGGGCGGTGTTCCGGATGAAAGCACCGACGGTGACCGATGGGGTTCGTGTGTCCCACCGGTCTGGTGTCACAGTGCGGGCATTTCTACTCCCGACGCCGTGTGGACGTTCCTCTCTCCACACGAGGTGCGTCGGCCCCCTTGTCGTCGGGGGAACGGCGTCCGTCCCCGGTGCAGTTGGATCGTCGTTGGAGCGCATATATGCAGACTGTTCCGGTGAGATGTTGCAGAGACGGCGTTGGTTCGTGCGGTCTCTCACAGCCCAGTATAATCGGCCTCAGAGCTCAGTTTCCCCGCATCCTGCTCGCGCGAGTTGTATCCGTTCATGTCGTTCGAGAGCTTCCTGAGTGATCAGGTGCTTGCCG